CGATACGACCATCAATTTCCCGCACACGAACTACTTGATCAACTTCAATTGACTCACAATCATCATTTCCTTTGATTATTTCTGCCAATTTTTTTGCTAATACATATTTAGACTCTGCTACATCACTGCATTCATCTCCGTGTGTACCAATTGTGAGAATCTGCAATTTCTCCGGAACCAAATCTCGTAGAACTTCGTGATCTTTATAGCTATCCCTAAAATGCTGCATCCCAGAAGCTATTGAGGAAATGATTTGCTTCAAAACTTCTTCGACCGTCAATCTGGATGGACTCCCATCATTGTGATCCTTCCCTTCAATGTGCATCACTGCAGTGGAGCCGCTAGACAACTCTTTTGAAATATTAACAACCAGAATAAGAACTTGAGCAAACGGCATAAAAATTGGAAGCAACTTTTGAAAAGCGATTTGACCTCCTGTATCAATGAGGTATAGCCATTGAGCACCTTCAAGACGATTCTCCTTCCCTGAACATTTCTGTACTTCGTCAAGTACTTTTTCTACCTCTTTACTCAGTGAACTTTCTTTTTCATCTCCAGGTGCTCTGTCTCCATTGCCAGGTGTTCCGTCTCCATCATCAGGAGCTTCAGGAGGTCTACTGGTGGCTTCATTTCCTTTAACGAAACTCTTATCGTCAGTCTCGTCAGCTGTTTCATTTCCTCTGGTCGGTTTCTTTCCATTGATACCTTCACTGACCTGATTTTCTACTGGAGAATTGGTCCATTTTTCTACTGCATCTTTTTTCAAAGCGTTTTTAACAATTTCTTCTAACTCTGTGACATCCAATAGCTTGTATCGTTTCCCAGTGTCTCGTCTGTAGCAGTAGATACCAACTCTTGGCTCAGCAATACCGGTACTTGCTTTGACATACTTTTCATCCAGTAGAAGTGACTTGAAACAGGTTTTACCAACACGAGCTTCTCCTTGAACTACAGCCTTGGTCAGATGGTACCTCACGAGAGTCTTAAGTGCTTCATGATAGTGACATAACTCTACAGACAAAAATTAAAAACATTAATTAATATTATTAATATTATTACTATTATTAATATTATTATTATTATTATTTAATTAATAAATAACCCTAATATTATTAATTTTGCAAATTAGTGAAGAAGCTGTCAATAAAATAATTTTTATTTCATTATTCATAATAATACTATATCCCAGTTCAGTTTGGGACGGAAGTGGAAGCAGCTGCATGGAATTTGAAAATGTAGTACGTCACAAAATGACGTAAATAATGATATTCATAGAGGAATGGCGGCTGTGTTGTTTCACTCTTAAAACAGTCTTGCTGTTACTGATAAGCAGTACAATAGCTGCTGGAATCAACTAGTTTTCATAAAGGCCATCATTATCAGAAAATCTTGCTCTATTAGCTTTTTAAAAGAAGAATTATCAGTTTGGGCGCTCGACTACATGTGCTTATGTAAACTATGACATCATAAAACGTCATTGCGGTTAGCTTTGGTATGCCATTGGGTTTATAGGGAGAACCCGGTTCTCAGGGTTCCCAAGGGTTGAGAGACCCAAGATTTCACAGATTTTGATGGACTTTGGCGACTAAGAACCTGTGAAAGTTTCATCCTTGTCTCACTTTCCTATAAAAAGTTATTCCAGTTTTTCTTGTCCCAAACTCAACTGGGATATACTGTAGTATAATATGCTCAATGACATGTGACAGCTGCAATGTTCCCCCATTCACCAAATGTCAGTAAAAATACATGAAATATATTTATTGAGTGATAATAATATAATACCTGGAGAATCTTTATCAATAATATTCTTTTCTAAAAATAAATATAAAAAAGAAGCTTCATAAAAGACAATACATGTAAATTATGGCTGGGCGACAGTATAGATAGTCAGTGTACAGCTATCCTGATAGTGATACTGTTATTCTAACTATCATGATAG